GGGAAGGGTCTATCAGGTGTCCAGGGTCTCACTACTAGATCAGACTCGTAGTGATCTGCCCATTTCTAGCCTCCCAAGAGCTGAGATTCCAGGCGTGTGCCACCATGCCCAGGCTCAGTTGCCATCTCAGCATCCCCCTGGGGCAGGGCCAGCACAGCAGGCCTGGGGATCAAACCCCTGGCCCCTGCACCTACTTGTAGGCACTTTAATCCACTGAGCTATTTGGCCAGCACTCAGCTCTCCCATCTTAGCATGATATTATTTTCCAGGGTTTTACTTCAATGTGTTTTCACACACCTCCAATTTGTTCAGGCACAGCCGTATCCTTATATATCTTTATGTTTTGCTTAAATGACAAAAGTACTAAACCAGAGAATCAGGCTGTGAATTCACACGAGAAGTGTAATTTCTTTGCACATCACAATCTAGAAAGTGTACAGGTAGTCCCGTCCACTCCTGCCAGGCAGCTCTGCCCCTGTGGTCAGTCATCATCCAGGATAGCTGTCCTCTATTTTATTTTTCTACTCCCCCCAGGGTTAAACCCTGGCACTAGGGTATTCTTTTTTTTTTTTTTAATCTAAAGCAAAGAGTATTCTTAAAAACCACACTGCACTCTTAGAAAATTTTTCCCCACCTAAATGATAATTCCTCTACCATGTCTATTCTCTAACCTGAAAGGAGGAAAACAAAACTGAACACAGAAACTTACATTAAGGAAGTGACCCGGAAGTGTGTGAGATTGTTCTTTGCTACAAAGGAGATTGGGAAATGTAGTCTTCACATGACTGACCGAAAGTTCAGCCAAAATTGCAGAGGTGCGGGTGGATATTAGGACAGAAGAGGAGAAGGGGCTTTGGTATGCAGACATTACCAGACTCCAGTATCCTTTCCTGATACTGTCTGTGTTGCTTCAATTTAGGCAGCATCCCCAGAGATACTGCAGAAATGGTCGCTCACAACAATAATCTCATGGCCTCTCTTTTTTTAAGACAGGGACTCACTATGTAGCTCAGACTGGCCTCAAGCACATGGTAATCCTCCTGCCCTGGCCACCTGAGAGGTTGGATTACAGGTATGTGCCACCATGCTGGGATCACATGGTCTCTATTTTTAGAAATTCCAGAGAGGGGGAGAGAGAGGGAGAGAGAGAGAAGGGGAGAGGGGGG